AATATATGTAAACTAACCAGCCAAACTATGGGTTAGGGTCAAAATATGTTTAAATCTAAACAAGCTGTGTTTTTTGTCAATCTGACCTCTACCATTTAGTAAGTTGACAGGTTTGACTCATATTACTAACTCTAGTTGTTAGAGCAATATCGTCTTAATTAAATTAAATCTAAATTAAAGGTGGGGAGATAGGAGGGCGTTGATGAATTACAATAGTTTCCTATATGTTTTTTCTTTGATTCAAACTTTGATATTGAAAAAATTGTAAAATTAATTAAATATACAATTATTAAAAAGGAACTCGTACGTACAATTTTCATTTATTAAATTCAAAATAAAGAATATTGTTTTAAGAAATCCATTCATTTCATGCCACCTGAACTAATAAATAATAAGTAGTGACCAAAAAAGAATATATAAGTTATCTTTTTACTTTCATTAATAATAGGAAAAATGATAGAAAAATTTTCTTAAAATATGTAAATGACAATGTGGTCCCACAATTGTGATAATTATTCTCAAGTCCTTGGAAAATTTTTGACTTTTTTTAAATGAATATAATGCCCTCAATTTAAAATAAAAAAGAAATAGAACAATGATTAAAAAATTTGCAGGACGAAACTTGTCATTTGGTATCATATTCAGTCATTTTCAAAATAAAAATAATAATTACTTAAATCAAAATAGTCACTATATTTATAACATTTGGACTTCAGTGATTAAAAATTTTGCAAAGAAAAAGTTTTAATTAGTTATCTCATTTTAGTAAATGCTAGAAGAAAAGTAGTTATTATTTAAACTAAAAAGTTACTAATATTTATAATACTTGAACTTTAGTGATTAAAAAAGAATAAAGATGTGTTTTTGCTATTGAAATATTTTTCAAGAAGTATCCAACACCCTAAATTATTTGGTGTAGCATTTTTGCCCTTAAAGTAATTAAAATATAGTATTTTTCACCCTGACATTAAATGCTTACAAATAATAGTTAAATTATCTTTTCTTACCCATAAAGTAATTAAAACATAGTATTCTTTACCCTGACATTAAATATTTACAAATATTTGTTAGATAGTTAAATTACCTTTTCTCACATCATATTAACAATCATCATTTATTATTTAATGCTGGAGTGGAAAATGTTACATTTTAATTACTTTAACGGTAAAAATGTTATACCAAATAGTTTAAAATGTAGGATGCTTCTCAAAAAATACTTTAGTGGTAAAAAATACACCTTTACCAATTCAAAATTTGTGCAGCAAAACTTGTTATTTGCTATTTTATTTTAGTCATTACAAATATATAGAAAAAGTACTCATTACTTAAATTAAAATACTTATTGATATTTGAAATTGAGATGATTATAGTCAAATTACAAAAGACATTGATGTCCAAAAGGTCCAAAAGATTTGAAAAGAATTATCAATTTTGGAGGACCTTATTGGCATTTGTATATTTTAGAGAGATTTTTTTATCATGTTCTGTTAATAATTTTATTAAACATTATTTCTCTCTCTTCCACATGTTCTCTCTAATGAATATGTTTATATTTTTTTGGAAGAATAGTCAAAAATATTATTAAACACAAATAAAAAGATTATTGCACAAATAAAAAGTATTATTAATATTAAAAACAAATATGTTTATTAAACGCTGAGTGCATGCTAGAAATTGACCAAATCAGTAATATTCTTTCATACGACTATATTACTATATTAATTATTTTCTAGATGGGAATGCAGAAGAATCAATATATATATTCAAATGCGAAAGTTAGTGAAAGTTTATACGTCCAATACAATGCACGAACTAACAAACACATAGTTAATATATATTCTCCTGATTTTGTAGAATATTTTCAATCATTTCATATATTTTAAAAAAAAATTAGTTTTTTATATAATAAAAAATGAGATATATTTTTATTTTTACCCTTAACCCTAACAACTACATTAAATATCCTTATACTAATCAAGAAAGTTTGTAAAAGTAATTTAATTATTACAAGATGTTTTACATTTTAGATAAAAAGTTGCTTCTAGAAAGTGACCTCCAAATAGGACCAGAGGAATTAAAGATAAATATTTAAGTGGCTTTTGTACAGATAGCCCATATTATAAGACCAAGTAAAAGAAATAGCCTATCATTTCTTCTTTCAAAAATGGCCTTTTTAATATTTAAATTATAATTAATTTACAAAATTTCTCTTTTTAATATATGTTTTTTTCAAAAACCAAGAGATTCAAAATGCAAGAAATCTCTAGAATGAGAGAGACAAATGTGAGAGAGACAAACGCAAGATAGCAGGGTAGTGTGAGTGAGCCACAATCAAGATAGCGAGAGACAAATGCAAGGTGAGATACAATGATGAAAAGGAGCACGTCGACGGGAAAACAAAGCTACAGATTCATGATCTTTATTTTATAAGTTTAGGTATTTTGATTCTCTGTGATAAGCTAAGAGTCCAAAATTTTTTGTGAACTATATTTGATATGTTTTAAGCAAATGATTATATATTTTTCGTATTACTAATATGTGATACTATATCATTGATATACGACTGTATATCAATTAAAAACAAATTTATATCTGATTGTTTCGTTATATTGATATACGATAATATATCAGTGATATACTATTATATATCACTGATATATAATAGTATACCACTGCTATCTATGCCATATCAGTAAAAACTTATCAATTTATTTATTATTGATATATAGTTGTATATCTATGATGTAGTATCGCAAATTAATAATGGAGTTTTCTCTTTAATGTCTAATGTCCTCTTCATAATATTTGAAAAAAATTGAGAGGAAGAGAGAGGAAAAACTCTGCAATAAATATGGCGATCCAAAAAAATCAGATCAAAAATTTTGATGAAGAAAAGCACTATACGAGAAATGAATATGATGATCTAGAAAAATCAAATCAAAAAATTTGATGAAGAAAATATTCAGGGATAATAAATCAAAGATAGAGCACGCACAATATGATTTTTTATGATAAAAATAAAAGATCCAGTCAGTTAAAGATTACTTAAATCAAATATATTCTGTTTTTAATAATAAATTTATTCTGAAAATAAAAAAGAAAAAATAAATCTAATTGATTTTATGATTAGGCCATATTTTAAAATATTCAAAAACCTCATGCATAATTTATGAAATTTATATTTTTTGAGGTCATTGGGCTAATTTTTCAATATTTAATTTCTAAATAAGTTAATTAACGATAATGAAGTGTGCTTATATTATTATTATTATAAGCTCAGCTCCTTACTAACCAACGAAAAAGGGCATAATCACATTATGAATTCTTCAACTCGCTTAAACCGAATTCTAATTTTTCCTGACAAGCTCAGTTACAAGTGAAAAAGAAGAATACACACACACACACACACACACACACACACACACACACACACACATATATATATATATATATATTATACATTAATTTTTTAAATATTTTATTTAAACATTGATAAAAATAGAGCGGGAACTGGATTGTTTGATTTTACTATTGTTTTCAAAATATGGTTTTCTATGTTGCATACACTTTTTATTAAAATTAAGCTTAAAATAAGTTTCAATAATATTTTTCTAAAAAAAGTTAACTTATTTTTAAATTTTATTAATATTATATATTATATAAAGTGATGTTTAAAATCAATAAATATAATGAGACCTATAATTTATATATTTTAACGTTGAATTTTTAAAAATAAAGGCTGACAATAATAAAATAAAAATTAATAATTTCGATCAAATATAGAAGACCATATATTTATTGAACAATGGTCGTACTACATTTTACCAATAAAAAATAGTATGCATTTTAGGGCTAATTTTCTCCAGCAATATAAAATCGTTTCTCTAAAATATAAAATTATAACCGGATCACATTATTTTCCTGCAATAAGTTAATTTAAGTAAAGTACTCTCTCTGTTTCTTATTACTACTATGAATAATCTTTTAGAAATTTCTTGGTATTTATAATTATTAATATAAAATATTTTATAAAAATTAAGTGAAAAAAATATGAATTATTTTAAAAACATACTCGCATGTCTGATTCATTCATTTAGTTGATACCTTTGACTTTAAGGTTTAAAGTTAGAAGTTATTATTGCAATTTTTGAAAAAGTCAAGACTGTTAACTAATTTCAAGCACATTTCTTAATTCGTACGAGTGCTCATTTAAAAACATCTCATATATAGGAGATACGACTGGAAAGTATGGTTTATTCACAAGAAATTTAAATAACTCATATTTTAATTATTAATTTAACAGAATTAAAAAATCTCATTAGCCGCCGCCATCTTCGGAATATGTATATACGCCAGGCCATCTTCATTCTTGAAATGAAATTTAAATCGTTCAAGTTTCCTTCATTTGGATTGAGTTAAATATTCATTGTTAAAAATTGAACACCATTTTTTTAAAAAAAATATTGTTGTCACCTCTATATAATATAAAGTCTTAAAAATAAGTCATATTGTTCCTAGCTCATGAATAATGCAACTCGTTGAAGTTTTTTAATAATAATAATATTATTATTATTTTTATAAGTATTTTATCAAAAAAACTATTTTTTATACATATAAGGGGTAGGCTTCAGTCTTCACCGACAGTAGAAAATATCTCTCCGGAGATATTGAGAGTAATATGTAAATTTTTTTTTAACTAAATTGTTATATACAAAAGAACTGAAATTCAAACCCTAATAATTGACCAAAGCACTTTGCTCTCCGTGGCCGTCTTTTTTTTTTTAATAAATGCATTAATCCACATGCATACATATTAATTTATCACGTGAGTTAATTTGTACGTGTATTTGAAATCTTGAATTCAACCAAAACGTGGGAAGAAGAAGCTTCAACGAAATACAAAGTGGCTAGGGGTTTTTTTTTTTCAACGTACCAGTCTATAAATCCACCCTCCGCCGACAACACCGACAACTTTATCATCTTCATCGATTCATAAAAGCACACAATCCTCTTCAACAAGATCCATGATTAAGCATTTCAGCGAATCATACATGTCCGGATTCAATTATCTCTCTTATCCTCAACATTCTTCCACATTAGCAGCAATCAGGCAGCACCTTCTCGGCAACGAAATGACCGACCAGCTGCCTCCATCTTCTCCAGCAACACTTTCCGACGACATCTCATTGCACGGCCAGAGCTCAATGTATGACAGTCATTGCATCAGCGAACTAGTAGTTCCTGATGTTTCCACCATTAATAACAATATCAGTGCAGATGCTGCAGTGGCGCTTGAGGGTAACGCACCTCCAGTTGAGCGGTGCTACCGGGGTGTTAGGAGGCGGCCTTGGGGGAAATACGCAGCAGAGATCAGAGATCCGGCTAAAAACGGCGCTAGGGTTTGGCTCGGAACTTTTGATACAGCTGAGGATGCAGCTATTGCTTATGACAGAGCAGCTTATGAGATGCGTGGAGCTAAAGCCAAGCTTAATTTTCCTCTCCTTGTGGGCTCCAACGTGTGGGATTTCGGTTCGACCGAGCCGGAAGCGGGGCATGGCCGGCGGCGGTGAGGAGTATTCTTCAAAGCTTAAGCGGATAAGGAAGAGTGAGGCCTGAGAATGAGAGAGATGAAACTGGTGTAAATGTGGGTTAGGGGTCTCTAATGTGCTCTTCTCTAATCACTCTTATAATGTTCCAATTTTTCAATTTCATTTTTTATTTTTCTTTGAATTATTGGCTTCTACATAAAATAAAAAAATATTTGAATATTTTGATATCCCAAAATGGTGAAGATTTGCATTTTTTATGATTTTTCAAAAATAAAAGGCTGTATTTGTGATATTTTTCTTTAAAAAATTACAAAAAATAAAAATCTTCACCATTTTTGAACATCAAAATATCCAAATGTCTTTTATTTTATATAGAAGCTAATGATCCAAAGAAAAATAAAAAATAAAATTGGAAAGTTGAAGCAATACAAAGGGCATTAAAGAATGGCACATTAATGCCCCTAGCCCTGTAAATGTTGTTATTACAATTTAATTGGCTGTATTCTTTTGTTCATTGGGCTCTCTTGGCCTGTTAAAAGAGTGTAAACATCAAAATTACGTTCAAGGTCTCTAGTTTTTACTAGTGCTTCCCCACATGTTATTATTGGCATTTCCTGAAATTATTACAATAGTTTAAGGTACTTCAATGGGTTTAAATTTGAATTTTAGATTAAAATATTAAATTTAAAATTCTTATATTTAAAATTTTTTATTCGAGTAGTGTAAAAAAGTTTAAGGACGAAAAAAGAAACAAGCTGAGAGTTAAATTGCATAAATGGAATATTGAAATTAAAGTCATGAGCTTTATACATTTGCTTTTCAATCAATGAGAGGCGAGGACAAGGTGATCAATAACAAAGGCACACCAATAGTAAAACCATGAAAAGAATAGTAGGATAAAGGAAGAGCTCAACTTAAAAAATTAGTTTAAGAATTTCTCACACTTATAAATCCCAATAAATTTGTAAGACTTCTCGATATGGGATTCATGATGCGGAGTAGCTGAAATTTTAAATAATTAAAATCTAGAGGGAATTTAAAATTAAAAAAATAAAACATGGACTAAATGGAAAAATTAAATCAAATCTAAATCCAAATTCTTATGGGTCGAAACACAACATAAAAGATGTCAGGCATAATCTTTGTCATACAACAAATAATAATCTTTGCCGTATAGAAGCAGCTAGGTCTTTCTTCTAGACTGTTCGAGTGTGGAAAAGTTCTGGTGCAGACTATGGGAGGTACTACGTGAGAGGCATGATCGCCATGGGTCTTGTGTGAGTGGTCTTAATAATAATGGTAATAATGGATGGGCATGTGTGAAAATGATGAAATTTAATTAATCATGTGATTCGTATTTTTATAAGTCGCTTGCTTGCTTTAATTCTTCTTCCCTGGTTTTGTCAATTCAAACAAACATATCATCATGGAGCGTTGAAATGTTAGGTACGGCAAAGAAAATATAGAATAATTATAGTGTAAGTAATGCCTTAACATGTTTGGTAACACCTAATGATCACCATTCAGAATTCTAGATCGGATTAGTTGTGGTGGCTAATAGTCTTGAAAGTATCGGATGCCAAAGCAAAAAAAAGGGGGGGAAATTCTTCGGATTTGGTTAGATAAACATTATTGTTAGTAGTTTTATAGTCTAATTACATAAATGCTTTAGTGTAAGTAAGAGGTTGGGAGTTCAATCACTCTTATAACTTAGGCTATTAGTACTAGGATCTCTAGCTAAATAAATTTAAAAAAAATAAAAAGCAAACAAATTGTTCAATTTGGTGAAGAGGAAGATTGGAAGTAGGAGATATATCGGTTCATTTTAAGAAGAAGAAGGCACAACATTGGAATTGGAATAGAAAAGGGAGAATAACAATGAAAACCCAAGACAATGAATTTTTTACAAGTAGGTCCTTGATAAATTTTTTTGAAAAATCAGTTATAAATATTAAGATGTACCTAAATATAAGAATTCTAACGTAAATAAGACATAAATTCACCAGTACAAACAGGTTAATCTACACCAGTTAAAATAGCTTATCTAAACTGGTTTTATAACCGGTGTAGATAACTAGCAAGGAAATATGATTTTTTTTTCAAAATTTCTTTATCTACACCAGTTACTTTCCAATAACCAATGTAGATATATGGTTATCTATACTGGTAGTGGTACGAATAGGCCAAACTCCTATCAAAAGTTTACGCCTTGACCTATTTTAGACCCAACCCAACCTATTTACTAAATAAACTTAGCTCAGGTTCAGGCCTTTAATTAGATTTATTTAGTTAAATAGGCCAAACTTATTTTTTCAAATCCTAGCCTGAGTCCAACAAGGTGGCCTATTTAGTATTACACACACACACACACACACACACACACACACACACACACACATTACGTAATATATCACATGCACATTAATTTCACCATTGGATTTTTAATCAATCAATTCTTCTTTGTTTCCAGTTATGTTTTCAATCAAATTAGACTTATATATTAATTTTAATGTTATTACTTTATTATTGTATTATATTAGTAGTTGGTAAGTCCTTTTAATTATTATATATTGTAATTGATAAATCAAATTATATATAATATACTAATAGTTCTAAGGTATATTTGAGACTTATAAAACTAAAATGAGAGCTTATTTAAAAAGTTTGGTTTTAAGTAGGTTTTTAGGTCAGGCTAGGCTCAGACCTCTAGCTTACCATACAGGCTTAGGCCTATTTAGCCAAAGTCTAACTCAGCCTAACCTATTTACACCTCTATTAACACGAGTTACGGACATAATTAACTGTAAAACTGTCCAAGAGGGGGGTGAACTGGGCTAATTAAAATTTAATTCAAATAATGCAGAATTAAAGATAAGTAAGAAACAATATCACCAAACAAGGCTGGGTGAAGAGAAGAGAAGCTTCACACGAAGAGTTTATCCTGGTTCAACTTTATCCACTTGAGCCTATATCCAATCCTTAAGGCACTCTTGAGATTTTTCACTATATTCATTAAGATTAAATTGGGCTCTTATTTGCCACAATACAGTACAGACTTCTTACTAAGTTTGAAATTCTCCCCTTACAAAGGTGATCAAAAATTTTCTTAAGCTCCACGAGCTTAAATTCCTCTATTTTGTATATGAAAAATAAGATAAACAGAGTAAATTCAAAAATGAACTACTATTGTTAAAGTCTATCTTAAAAAGAAAATTTACAATCAATGAAGCTCACAAAGACAATAAATATCGAAGCAGGAAGTTGGTTATATAAGATTGCATATTTTGTAAAATCACTTCTCGGTGTCCGCTTCATAAATGAGTCATATTTATAGTTGATGCTGAGGATAAATCTGTTAGACTCATGTAATTAGCCGTTTGAGTGTCGTTCTTCTTCTCTTGTGTTTCTTTGAGAATAAGATGATAAAATTTGCTTTACGGCAGAGTTGCTTGTTTTCGGCGACTTAAGAAAAGTAATGGCTATATGCACTTAATATTCTGACAAAATTACCATTGAGATGAAAACTAGAAGAAAGAATGCTATTCAAGTATAGAGAAAAATAAAGGAAGGAGTAAAAGTATAAATTGACCTGAGAATGAGTTTAGAAGACTTCTAGATGGAAGAATATGAGATCCCATCACTTAGATTATGAAAGAGATTCAAAACGAGTGAGCTTCAATTTGCACAAAATAGAGATTGAAAAAACAAAGCATAAATCTTCATTATTGTACCAGTATAGGCAAAAACTCATATGAAAAGAAGTGCTACGTTAATATATGAGTGAAAAGAATTTGTAAGAATTGATAAATGCTTAATCCAACCCAAAGTTGTGTTAAAAAGAATTTTAAAATATGTAAGAATGTTAACACAACACTTAGAATAAGAAGAGAATAAAAACGTGGAATGGAAAACACACAGACACTTTTAGACTACGGATTGTTTGATTCTAAGAGTAGTTGAAACACTTGTTGGAAATTAGAAATAGTCCTAAGAAATTAAAATCAAGTTAAATGCTTAATCTTTAAAAAGAAACTCAATTAGATCAAATACAGATTAAGCTTCTAAGTTTCTTGATAATATAGTAACAGGGGATAATGAAAAATCATCATTAAGAGTTTAATCCAGCCAAAGTTGTGTTTAAATGATTTTAGAAGTATTATAAGGTTAACACAACTCAAAAAAAACTGAAAAGAACTGATATTGAATGAGTTTCGAAGAGTTCGTAAACAAACACAAAAAACAGAGCATGAAAAATGATGTTTATATCGAAATAAGTGAGATTATATGTTAAGAGATCTTTTGTACTAGTATAAGAGTGCTTTACACGGGTATAAGATAAGACTAAACTCAAAAATAAAGGTTTATACCGGTATAAAGGGCTTTGTACAAGAATAAGGAAGAATTATATGGTTTACACCGGAATTGCAGGCACAGTTATGGAATAATATTTGTCAATTTGTAACAGTCATAACTCTTTCATTTTGAGTTAAAATTAGACAAATGACATATCGTTGAAAATCTATGGATGTCTAGTTTCCAAAGAAATCAGATTCACTCGAAAATTCAAAGTATTTTGAGAGATATGATCAAAAAGGTGAGCAAAGGTCAAGGACGTTTTACAGGGAACAGGAAGCTTCAACAGTTAACTTTGAAAAATCATATATATTTTATATGAAATCCATTTTGAACGAAATTAAGTTCTTTGGGAAGATGTTCAAGTCTATTTTCAAATGAATGAAGTTTCACATTAATAGGATTTATATATTAAGAAATATAGAGAAAATACTGATTAAGTGTTAAAACCAAATACATCTAAAACTCTTAATTCAAAACATAAATATTAATAGCATAATTTGATTCAAGCTAAAGCATTTTCAAAAACCAAGATATAATCAAGAAAAGATTTGAGATAATCAAATACTTATCTCGATAATAAATTTAAGCTTTGGATAAGATGACACAAGGGAATAGGGAGTCAGAGATTAAACATATAGACCAATACTCTTAATTGCCATTAACACATATTAGTATCTTTGCAAAAATAAAGTCTTCTCTATTTTGTAA